TTTTTGGCTTCCTTTCAGATCATTTTACATAATCCTAAGACATGAATAAATATATTTCAATAATTTCAGAGATATTAATAAATAATTAAAAATTATATATTTTTCAGCCTTTCTTAAAAAAATTATTAATAATAACAAGAACTGTTCTGAAATCAAAACTATATTAGATATTTACTTTAGATGGTCTGTACTTACTTTGCTATAAATATGGAAATCGTAAATCATACATGATGTTCAAAATTCTACGCCAAACTTTCTAAAATGTAAAATAATTTTCCTTTGGTTTTTTAAATGGAACACCCTGTATATTACTTTTTCAATAGATGGAGAATTAAAAAATGAACATTCTTGCATTTAGAGTATTTCAAAATTTTTAACGGTTTCGCAGATATTCCCGGTTTTGTATTTCATATGGCATTTTCCACAGTAAATTTTTATCAAAGCCACCCAATGATTTTTCTCTCGTATTTTACCATTGAAAGCGCCATATGAGATAATACTGCGTGTATCCGGAAAACTACTAAAAATTTTGAAATACTTTAAATACAAAAAATGTTCATTTTTTAATTCTCCACCAAATAGAAAAATAATATACAGGGTGTTCCATTTAAAAAAAAAACAAGAAAAAATTATTTTATATTTTTGAAAGTTTATGTAAATGTTGAACATCCTGTATGATTTACGATTACCATATTTATAGCAAAGTAAGAACAGACCATCTAAAGTAAATATCTAATATAGTTTTGTTTTCAGAACAGTTCTTGTATTTTTAATATTTTTTTTAAGAAGGGTCGAAAAATACATATTTTAGATTTATTTCTTAATATCTCTGAAACTATCGAAATAGATTTACTCATATCTTAGGATTATGTAAAATGATCTGAAAGGAAGCCAAAAATGCAATAATATACAGGGTGTTCCATTTAAAAAAAATCATCCAGATCCACTCACACTTTTTTGAGCCACCCTATAGAAGTTAAAATATTTTCCGGAAATACATCCTGGTACATACTTTAGGTCTGTACTTAAACAAAATTCTGAACGTTTTTATTCTAGGAGCTACAGATGCCCGGCGCACTATTGCCGGACCCTGTATATAATATAAAGAATAATATCTATTAGAAATTTCTAGCGAACTGGTAAAGAAACTATATAAAAAGTCATATAAGTAGGTTTAACCATAAATTAATTATCGATTTATAAATGATTGAAAAAAGCGTGAGAAATGATTCAAGTGTAACAAATTTTCGCCATAATTACGAACTCAAAGTAAGCTATTGAATTTTATAGCACACTATCTCAATTTTATGCGATCATTTCTATGTTTTCTTGTTTAAAAAAGGTTGATTATAATCTGCTTTTCCTTTTTTAGTAGTTTATTATACCGTGTGGTGCAAAAGCTCCAATATTAGGCGTTAAAGTTGTACTGTCGTCTAAAATTTCGTTTTATTTGGAATAGGCATCTAAAAGTTACTTGCAAAAATCTACCTTCAAATTAGTAAAATTTATAATACGGCCCAGAGAAGCAATTAAAATACCCGCAAAAATATGATTTTGTCATTGTCAAATTCGATGTCACTTTTTCTTTACGAAAATTTGTGCGGTTTGAATTTTTTTTTTTATTTTTTTCTGAATTGGAATGATCATCTAGAAAAGAATTAGTTGAACTGAGATTAGTATTCGCGATGTGACTTGTTTGTTGTTCATAACTCGATCACTCCCAGGCCTCGCTCATACCACATTGATCCACAATAATTCAAGAGATAATCGAAATATTTGTAACACAAGGAACATTATTAAACTATACTAATTAATAAAATGTTTACATAATTCCCCATTCATAGCCAAACAATACCCCAAATGACTGTGAAATTCACGCTTCACAATACAAAACTGTTAAGGGGAGAATCTTTGCATTCCAAAGAAATGCCGTTTTCAATCCTTCTAAATTTCTGTATTTAATATGCCCATAAAGACGGGTTTTGAGTGTGCTCCACAGGAAGAAGTTGTTCGGCGAAAGATCCTGTGGTACTTTCCTACTAGAGGTGTGTAGTTCGTGAACGAACTAGTTCCAATGAACTATTCCGACCCCGGAATGAAAAGAACTAGTTCCTGGTTTCTCAAAGGACTAGTTCCTCAGGACCTGTTCCGGGATCGAGACTGTGTCCGATATAGAATAATATGCGACGGCGACGGATCGGCTAGCGTGCGTAGCCCGATGGTAGGCAGGAGTAGGGAGTGCCAGACGTACGTTATCGGATCCGGACCTAGAGGAACTAAACTAAATAAAAGACTAGTTTGCGTACGAACGGATCGGGCCAGCGCGATCGATGCTAGGCAGGAGTGGGGAGTGCCAGCCTTATGCCGTATGTTATCGGATCCGGACCTAAAGGAACTAGAGGAACTAAATAAAAGACTAGTTTACGTATGGATCAGCCAGCGCGATTGATGCTAGGCAGGCGTGGGGAGTGCGAGCCGTATGTTATCGGATCCGGACATAGAGGAACTATTAAAAGACTAGTTCACGGGAATCTATTCAGTCGACGACGATGGATTCGGCCTTGTCTATTGCCACAGCCGGCGCGGCGTAATTACCACAGAGAATTGTCGTGGATACTGTTTTTGATTTTTAGTTTGTTTTTTAAATATTTTATGGGAATGTTTCACTTTAGGTCCCTAAAATTAAGAAATATCTTATAAAACGAAGTAGATATTCTGAATTTTTAGACAAAAACAAAAAGCTTGAAGTGAGGAAAAATGCTATTTTTCGTAACATTGTTGTAATATTTGCTACAATTGATTTGTGATATAATTTTTTAAATTCTGATTTGAGTTTTTTTTTAATTTTTTTTATCTGCTATAAAACTTACCTATATGTTTTTAACATACACAATTACACGTCTCGTTATATCTCCGTACATTATAAAAATTATACAGATCATACTGTGAATAGTTCTGACTGACAACGAAACGCATTAGCAAGCAAGGGGGATGTCAATGTTAGTCGGGAACTATTGTGAACTAAAGACCTAGTTCAAGGAACTATTCCTCTGGAGGAACTAGAACTAAGGAACTAGTTCCTCCCAAGGAACTAGAATTCCCACCTCTATTTCCTACTGTATATCCTCCCCAATAAACGGGAGTCAATGTTTTTTTTTGGTTGAAAATCTTAAAAATGGACAAAATGCATTTAGTAAGTCTGCTCCTCATATTATTATTCGTTAAAAACTAAAAACGTATCTTATTACAAACATTTTCTTTATTAGTTTTAAAAAAACATATATACATAATCAATATTTGCCCACGATGTGTAGAAATTACAATGATTTTAGAGGTAATTGCGACACCTGGTTCACAAAACAATTTGCATTGTACATATTTACTTACCGACCGAACGACAGTTCAAAAAGCTCATTTGAATTTTCGAACAATTCATTTTGTCACGGTTAAAAATGAAACTCCTTTTTCTCATCTCGCAAATTAGCATCATTGTCAAAACATTATTGAAATTTCTTCTTATGAAATAATGCGTAATACTAGTCTGTATAACTATGAATATTTTATGTTGAATAATTTCATTTTTGTTTTTTTATTGTTAAAATAGCTTTCAGAATTAGACCCTTTAATTTTAATAGACCCTTTAAATTTAATAACTGTGTAAATCATAATATCTTAATTAACAAATTGCAATACTATGGATGTCTTCTTGTCTATGTCTTCTTGTAAGCCTATAGAATGTGGTGTCCCTCAGGGTTCAGTACTTGGCCCTATTTTATTTCTGGTGTTTATCAACGACATTGCAAATCTAGACATTAGCGGTAAAATCTGCCTCTTTGCGGACGATACTAGTTTCACTTGGAGCGGCCCAGATGTTACGGCACTATATGATACTATATCCAGTGACTTACGCACCATTAAATCTTGGTGCGATTCTAATCTCCTATGCCTCAACCTTTCAAAAACTAAAGTTTTGTCATATAAAAGTACTATACAACCTAACAACACCACTATTGACGTCGTGGACTCTGTGAGATTCTTAGGACTTGTTGTGGACAACTCGTTAAAATGGGACTTGCACATCGAAGCCTTATCAAAGAAACTAAGTTCTGCCTGTTTTGCGCTAAGATAAGTGTCTAAGGAACTTAACTCATCAACCTCTAGAATGGTCTATTATACCCTTTTTGAGTCGCATCTTCGTTATGCCCTTCCATTCTGGGGTACTTGCTGCGCGACAAAATTTGATCGTATTTTCAAACTTCAAAAGAGAGCAGTTGGATACTTATTGGGACTAAACAGTAGAACTCACTGCCAGAATTTCTTTAAAAATTTCAACTCTTTTATAGAGTTTTATAGTTATGCACCAAGCTACCATATTTTGGTGGCTTTGCTCTCTGGTTCCCACCCGGGAGGCTAGAGTTCAAATCCCGCTGGGTTATTCTATTTTTAATTTTTCATTTTATTTTTGATTTTGTTTGATTTTTTGTTCCTGTTTGTTTTTTATTGACAAATATTTGCCTGTCATTTCAGCCTCGTCTCAGTGTTGTTTTAAATGTAAAATGTGAACGTGTATTTGGATTAATTTTAATTGTATTTGTAAGTTATGACGACCTTTTTATTATTTGTTATTTATTTAGGTTCTTTCTTGATAGGTCTGATGATGCTCGTATATGAGCGAAACACGTGTAACAGTTTAACATTGTATAAACGTTGAGACCGAGACTTTGAGTCTTTTTTCTACTTTTTTAACTCATTTTGAGTGAAATTAAAGAAAAACTTTTCTTGCCGATCTTAATAGCCTACCATACCTATTGGTATGGTCGGCTAAAAAACCAGACAAAGATGCTTGAACTAGAACTAACTAGTCAAATAATTATTTTTGGTGGTGTAAAATCGCTGTAACTATTAAAAAAAAATAATCATTTCATCTGTTTGCTAATAGTACAAGGAAAATTATTTTTTATATGCAATTTTGATTACATTATTTTATTTTTTGATTACAGGTGAAGCTAGAAAGAGTACTTGGTGTGACGGTAGCCAGTAATGCTTCTTTAGGAACAGACAACAATGGAATAATAGCTTATCCTGCAGGGTAAGTGTTTTTTTTATATTTTCTACGTATAAACAGCTCTAAATTAAAAATTTTACATTATATTTAAGCTCTACAGAGTGTAAAAAATAAGTGTACCAAACTTCATTGTGGAGCGATACCATACAGATAAAAATAAAAGAAAATAAAGTTCCTATGAACATGTCTCAAAAGTGGCTCATTCCTATTTGCGGTTAGTAACGAAAATTTGACTCGAAATACCAAGTGTGTGGTATCAAATTATTCGTAAAAAAATGCTTTTTCCAAATATGCTAACGAGCCACCCTCGTTCCATTTGAAAAAATTGAGATATGATTAAAAATACCATATGGGCATCTTTTAACCGGCCAGGACAAGACACTAAAAACATTAGACGATCAAATTATTTTTCCAAGGCTCCTTGATCTAAAATTAGTGTTTTGACATAGCCATGGCGCTCTAGATTGAAGTTTAAAATAATATGTTTTATTAAGCGAGAATGTCAAAAGTTGACATACGATATGTCATTCTATTCGGAATGTCATTTTCGTTTAAAAATCAAAAGTTGTAGTCATTTCCGGTGAAACGGGAAGTGACCAAAAACAACTGAATACGTCAATTAATCCTAATTTATGTCATATACTAACATAACTAATCTCGTTTTTTTTATCTGAAAAAATAAAAAAGTTATAGGGGGGTGAACCACTTTTGAGACGCAAAAAAGCAATAATGTTAATAGGAATTTTTCACAGAGTTAAAAGAATTTTTTGATGTATTTTTCTCTGTATAGTACCACTCACTAAAGTTTGGTACACTATTTTAACACCCTGTATAGTTTGTAAAATATCTCTGATATTTCTTATTAAGATTTCCGACGATCCGAGCAAGAAATGCCAAAGAACTGCTTATTATTTAGTAGTACGATGGTATCCAGCAGGCGATGGTACTCACCGCGTACCACGTTTGAATTTAAATGAAAAGTTTGACTTGCACGCATGACTGAAACAAAATTATGCAGAAAGAACGTTTAAAATGCCGTTTCAGCTGGTTAAATAAGGTTAATAATATAAGGAAATTTGAACTGTTATTATTCTGTAGCCAATTTCGTGAGTACATTTTTCAAGACGATGAATTTTTGATCAGTATTAATTAATCTTTGAATATAAAGATTAGAGAAGGAGTAATATTGACAAATTTGTACGGAACGCGATGGGGGACTAATATGGCCGACTTAATTTTCCTGTTTATCAGTGCATTGTATGTATTTCGATTTTTGTTTAGAATTGAAGGATTGAAGAATTGAAATATGCAATAATATACAGGGGGTTCTATTTAAAAAATGAAACTTTGATGTGCCACGACTTTATGACCGATCCTGTATACATAAATTTATTACTCGCCAATAGACATTTAAAACCCTATAATTTTTGTATTTAACATTTTGCGGTACCTTGTATATTTTACCTAATAATCGACCGTTTCTATACATAACAGCGACCCTGTATACAGGGTGTTTCAAAACAAATGCGAAAAATTTCAGGGGGTGATCCCTTGTTCAAAATAAAGGGTAGTTTGCTTTATAAACGTTGGGTCAAAAGTATTAAGATATCGCGGAAAATGTTTTGTTTTTATCTTGAAAACGAAAAAATGACTAATCGAAATTTTATGGAGCACTACTGTTATGAAAACATACTTTCTGGTAATTTTTCACTTTTAAAATGAGTGGAAGGGGTTGAAATAAACTACCCCTATCATTTGTTAACGAAATTTAAACCTTATCAAACACATGCAAAAAAATTAATTTGATAGCTTGGTTTGTTTAGAGTTACTTTTTTTATCTCTTGTGCTTTGATAAAACTCGCCGATTTGAAATTAAAAAATAAAATGTAAAGCATTACATGTCAGGATAAAAAACATTTTTAGATAAAGAATCTAGTGATAATAACGCTAATAATAAGAATCTAGATAATAACGTATTGCAGTAGAGTAATGTCAATGAAATAATATTAGAAACATCCTAAAAAGTGACAGCGGCCCACTAGATTTTTTCCTAAAAAAATTAGAGCAGCCCACTAGATTCTTTATCTAAAAATGTCTTTTGACCTGACATGTAATGCTTTACATTTAATTTTTTAATTTCAAATCGGTGAGTTTTATCAAAAAAACACAAGAGATAAAAAAAGTTTCTAAACAAACCAAGCTATCCAAATTAATTTTTTTGCATGTGTTTGATAAGATTTTTCTTTAAATTTCGATAACAAGAATGATAAGGGTAGTTTATTTCAACCCCTTCCACTCATTTTAAAAAAGTGAAAAAATTACCAGAAAGTGTGTTTTCATAACAGCAATACTTCCATAAAATTTCATTGGTCTATCTCTTTTCGTTTTTAAGATAAAAAATAAAAACATTATTTTTCCGCCATCTTTGTACCGCGATATCTCCCTAATGGTTGACTTTTGACCCAACGTTTATGAAGCAAACTACCCTTTATTTTGAACAAGGAATCGCCCCCTGAAGTTTTTCGCATTTGTTTTGAAACACCCTGTAGTTATTTACCACTGAAAATTATTCCCTTATTTATTCCGATTTTTGACCGATATACAACTATTATTAGGCTCATCGTATTTTTAATGATAACCTAATTTTTACGTATATTTATGAATAAGAGAATACACTTTTCACAGGGTGTCAATCAAAAAGTTTTATAAAAAAAACTATGTTTAATTAATAACAATAATAACTGATTTTTGAGACGACATTACATTCATATAAGTTATAGTTATATTAAGAAAAATATAGTGACAGTATTGGAAATATTTAGATGTTTACACAAAGTCTATTTTTAATGATGTAGGTGTTATAATAGTTAACACATTGCTATTAACAAGTATCTAATGTGTTATTATTATTTATTACTAAATCTAATCGTTTTTAGTCGTGAAATGAAATGCAAAACGTATTTTAATGTTTTAATATTTGTTTTAGAATGACTTATATTGGCAAGTAAATATGCATTTTGTAAATCTTAAAAATATAAAATTTGTTAAATCAGTAAAAATATCCGCTACAAAGTTGAGGCATTATATATAAATATAAATGCCTTTATTGTCAAAAAATTTTTCAATTTGTTGACAAAGGTAAACTAATAAACAAAGTAGAAAAAAAAACAAGGTACACAAACAAACAAACAAAAGATAATACAAAACATTATATAAATAATATTGTCAGTCTTATTGTTAAAATAAACATTTATAAATGTTTACAATGCCAAAGAACAAAAAATTTAAAATAATATTCAAAAATATTTAGCCAGTTTATAGTAAAATATCAATGACCTCTAAATAAATTAATTTCGATGTCATTAGTAAATATAGCAATAGCAAACATTAGACCAGTGTTTTCAAGATCAAATTCGATTTTCAATTCAAATATAATTCATTTACGGCGTAGAAAGCCTTGTCTAGTAAATAAGAGTTCAATGCTTTGCGAAATGAAAAAATGATGTTATGGATTTGATTTCAAATGGCAGGTGATTGTGCATTTTTTCGAGTTGTATAATATTGAACTTTTAACTAACTCTGAGCGTGGGGTAGGTAGATAAAGATCTTGCTCCGCGTTCCTGAGTGGATAAGTGTGAGATGGCCTTTCTTGAGAAGCTGATACATGTTTACGTATTAGGCAAACGGATTCAAATATAAATAAGGAAGGAAGAGTCAATATTCTTAATTCCTTAAAAAAAGTCCCGACAATGAGTTCTGCTGTTTAGTCCTAGTGAATATCGAACAGCTCTCTTCTGGAACTTGAAAATGCGGTCAAATTGAGTCGCACAACACGTACCCCAGAATGGAAGGGCATACCTGAGGTGCGACTCAAAAAGTGCATAATAAACAGTTCTAGCCACTGACAAGTTAAGCTCCTTAGAAACAGACCTTAATGCAAAACAGGCAGAGCTCAATTTTTTCGACAAAGCTTCGATATGTATGTCCCATTTCAGAGAATTGTCCACAACAAGCCCTAAAAATTTTACAGATTTTACGACGTAAGGCTGCAACGAGTTTTTATACGACAAAGCTTTAGTTTTAGAAATGTTGAGACTCAGGAGGTTCGAATCGCACCAAGATTTAATGGTTATTAAGTCATTTGATATAATCCTATGAAGTGCCGTGATGTCCTTGTTGCTCCAAGTGAAGCTAGTGTCGTCCGCAAAAAGACATATTTTGCCACTGATGTTTATGTTAAGACAACGTGGTATCCACCCTCACAAGTTGACTTCTGTTGCTCAGATACGACTTAAACCATTCGAGAGATGATCCCCTGAACCCATAGTGCTGCAGTTTATTAATTAGGATCTTATGACTTACACAATCGAACGCCTTAGAAAAATCACAGAAAATTGTTGCTGTAGAATGATGGTTGTTTAGGCTGGAGTAAACTTTATTAAGGAGGGAAAACATAGCGTCATTTGTGGACTTGTTGCTTAGATATCCAAATTGATATTCAGTAAGTATTTTGTACTTAAACAGAAAAGATACCAGCCTTCTTTTAACCAACCTTTCTATGATCTTAGATAGCGTTGGAAGGAGTGCAATTGGGCGATAGTTAGAAGCTTCATCTTTGTCTCCTCCTTTGTGCAGAGGAATGATTATTGCCGTCTTAAGACATTTTGGAAGAATACCATTTTGGAACGACATGTTTATTAAAGTTGTTAGGTGATTCAGAGTGCTTTCTGGCAGATTCGAAAACATTTTTAAAGTTAGCCCATTCATGCCGAATATCGTTTTGAGTAAGCTCAAATATTTACAGGAGGATAAAAAATGCATGTCGTAGTACCTACTTATAGAAACAAAGTTGTGTGTAATATAACTTATGCCATATTATAGCTTTGTCTAACGAATTTTATAGAACCAAAGGTTGATATATGTCTCACTTGGCTGGTACAAATTGATCGAAGCCCACGACAAAATGGTCGACCATTAGTCAAGTCGAATTCCACGAACCAGAGACAGTTTTAGTCAGATAAAAACAGAAATAAGGATTGCATCTAAAAAATTAATAATTTCGAACGATTTTAATTTATTCGAAGACATCTATTGTCTTATTTTTTGTGGCACAACCCACCTGACCGTACTGAATCGGTACGACCTAAGACAACTCAGTCCTTTGTCATTTGACGGCTCTATTAAAGGAAGTGCGTACAGAGGGCGTTGTCTGTCATATAAATGGATAATTAAGAACATGAATCTATAGTTTTTTTTTGCGAAATATCATCCTACGAAGAAAATTCTTATCATAACTCAATTTTTTATCTCAAAAAGGAGTGAAATAAAACGCTCAGGCACCGGTAACTTGATTTTTCAATAAGCATAATTCTCTACAGTTTCAATAGTCACTATGACGCCGTTTTTTTTTCGATCGTATGGTATTTCTACGCAGCCATTATCGCGGAGACAGAGGACGATAATGCTTCTATCAAGTAAGCCCAGAATTAAATATGATTATCTCTACAGAAAAAAACTAAATGCTTAACTTTCCCTAAAGAGCCGGTAAGATGCAAACTGGTAGTAGAAAACAAAATTATTGAGCAAGTATCACAGTTCAGATACCTAGGAATAGATAATATATCGTACTACCATGATCCAGAGAAAGGTCTGAGAAGCCAGATAAACAGAGCAAGGGCCATGTCAGCATGTCTGAGGCAAATAGTGTGGAGAAACCCCTTCCCCACGCGAAGAGACTGCAAAATTAAAATTTATAAGACCATAATGCATCAGACCAATAATGGCATATGTCATAAAAATCCGAGAGGAACAAACAAGACCAAAAGCATGTTAAGAGTCGCTGAAATGAAGAACCTAAGAACCATAATGGTGTAGATTAGAAGTGACAGAATTAGAAACATAAATATCAGACAATAATGTGGAATAGAGGACGTAGTGAGATGGGGGTAGGCAAAGAAAAAGATAATGGTTCGTACACGTAAAACGCATGGAAGAAAAGAGGCCACCACGCATAGCTCTTGAAGGGAAACCCATGGATAAGTCATCTCCCAAGAACTCCTACAGAGGGAACCTTAAAACTAACAGATTCACTAGATCCTAAATAAATAAAAGAAGAAGAAGAAGAAGAGGTATGGTAGGCCATTGACCATGATATGGCCGAGGACTGCGGTTCGGATTCCGTGTAAACAAATTAGGCCCCGTCCAGATTAGCCCTGACATCAAAAAGGAGACGTTAACTGAAATCTTTTTTTTTCTATCATACGATCGAAAAAAACGGTGTCAAAGACGTCTGGGGAATGACAATCAATAATAATTTTGGCTAGGTCAAGCTCTAAACGTCATTTACTTGGCCCCTACTCTTCTTTATTTCTTAATGGAGCTTAAGAATGTTGTAATTTATATTTATATTTAGTAAAAATGATTTTTAAAAGTATGCGTGTCTGGGAATATTATTATGATATTCATATTTAATTCATATTTTGGTTAATTTTTGGAAAGTTTTATGTCAATTTTTAATAAGTGGCGTCTAGAGATTAACATTGCCAAAATTATCGTCGATTCAATCATTCCCCAGCCGTCTTTGACGCCGTTTTTTAGCCGACCATACCAATAGGTATGGTAGGCTATTAAGATCGGCATTTTTTTTTATTTCACTCAAAATGAGTTATTTGGGTCATAAATGACCTAAATACAAAATATTTTCATGGCGTCTGTATGTCTGTCTGTCTGTCGGTCCGTCCGTCCGTCCGTCTGTCTGTTGGTCGTCTGTAACACGATAAGTCAAAAACCGCTGAACCGATTTTAACCAAATTTGGCACAAAAATACTGTGGCACCCGAGAATCTGGCCATTAGTTTTTGGTGGGGGTGGGGGGTTGGTAAGGGGGTATGGGAGGGGTTAAAAATTTTTAAAAATCGTAACTCCAAAATTACAGTAGCTAGCGAAACGCGGTTTTCAAATTAAGATTAGGAATAATATTTGCAACAAAATTTGTAATAACATCAAAATCAGTCAGTCGCAGTTTTTGAGATATTGACATATTTTAGTATGGGCGACTATACGATTTTTCGATCATACGGTGTGATTTAAAATTATATTCTAAGAAAATTATTTTAAACTTCACGTATAGGGCAGTATCCGATCTGATAAAATTCTAATGAAAATCTGTGCTAAATGCATCGACGTTCTCAAATTCCGATCGTCTAGTAATAAATCATCAATAATTTCTGCAAGCCGGGAAAATCGTTTTCCCGCTAGGACGAAAATTGGAGTAGGTAGGGCTCGGGAAAATTGAAGGAAAATGCTCCAAATGGAAATCTACTTTAGAATATTAGATTCCGCGAAGATTTAAGTGAGGGAAAATTAGGTGTAAACTGGTTAATATAATAAGTAATAATCAGGTCAGATTTTTATCTTCAATTTTGTAAATAGTCCTAATTCTTCTTGGATAGAATTAGAAAGAATGTTCCCTATTAATTTAAGTATTATTTAATGTTATCACTGGGATTTTAGATTACGATCTAAACAGTCTGAAATACTAGTCTTGATAAAAATAATTTAAGCAAATTGTGATTTATAAATACAATCTTTTTATACTCAAAATACAAATTTTGAAAGATCTCATGGGGGATTAGGTGTGGGGGACACCCTGTACATTGTTTTTTTTTCAATTATGTTTTTTTTTTCAGATGCACCGTGGTTTTGTTTAATATAAGGACTGAACAACAGAATCACATAATCAACACAAGCAGAAAAACTATAACATCTTTAGCATATTCCTCCTGTGGTAGATACATAGTTACAGGTAAGGTTTACATCGAATTTTACATTGTAGCTTCAATGCAAATTAAATGGGCTAACGCACACTGATCAGACGCGAGCCTTCAGACAGTCAGGCTGATCGATTTCAAGCAGCAAAAAAATGTTTCGTTGTTTTATGATAAATAAATTGTATATTGTTTTATTAGGAGTAAAAATGACAGTTCTTGTTGCGAGGCTGTACATTTACACAGGCGAGCCACAAAAAATCATTTTTTACTCCGAATAGAACATGCTATTTTTTTTCAAACGGCACAAATAATTTCCAAATAATATAAAAAATTTAATAGCAATACCTTGTATGTAATTGTATATCAAGAAACTATGGTTACGCTCGTTGAATTTGACACTTTATGTCAGTTTAATAATATATTTTCGTACTTTTGTGCTTAGGCGTAGTGCTTTACTTTTATGCCTAGGCGTTAAAATGACTTGAAAATTGTCAATCACGTCGCAAAAATTAATACTTTGTGACATTTCAAAAAAAAATCTGCTGTGCATATTTTATTTTTTTTTAAATTTTAGTATTAGCACAGAATATCTAGCTACGCAACAGAAGCCTCGTTACATGTATAAAATTGTAGGTAGCAAAAGGAGACAGGCTTTAAAAGTCTGTCTCCAAATCAGATATTTTGATGTGGTAGTTTCGCTACTACATAATAGAGGGCAATAAATTTAAAAGAATACAGTTTTCTACAAACAAAATTTAAAAGAATTTTGTGCAGTGTTGCCATTGTGTAATTCATATCGTAATACTTCCTGATAAAGCCTACCGTCAAATCTGCTACATCATTTAAACATATTAAAATAGATCAGAGCTGTTTTTTTCAGTTTGCCATGTTAGTTGGAATTAAATCTTATGAGCTAAATTACAATTACTTCCTGACGTTTGATTGTATAATTGAATCCTGAATTTTCATTGTAATTCGGCGACAATATAATAAGTATTGTTCTACTATTATGATACCACTTCCTGACGTTCGATTGTGTTCATACCAAGTTCATATTGTATAATCGAAAAAAACGGCGTTAGCGATAGCTATGAAATGAATATTACTGTCATTTTATATGTAAATTTATATGGGAAATGTCATCGATTGTCCTTTTTCAGCCAACTGGACGCCGTTTTTTTCAGAAGCATATCAAGTGATACCATAATATAGTACTATATTACGATACATGGCGTTCGATTGGGCTTAAACTTGGTATAATATATCTTCAGTGACATTGTAATATCATGGTACCATGGAGCATATAAAGTAGTACCTTCTATAGTACCATATTTGATGACATAGCAATATTAGGTACATGGCGGCAATAGGGCTTAAACTTGGTATACTACGTATTTTCGGTGACATTGTAATATGATGGTACTATGATGCATATCATCTGGTACCATAATATAGTACCATATTATGTACATGGCGTTCGATTGGGCTTACATTTGGGATGCTACGTATCTTCGGTGATATTGTAATATTATGGTACCATGGGCATAATAAGAGGTACCATAATATAGTACCATATTACGATACCATTTCCTGGCGTCTCGATTGGACTTAAACTTGTTATACTACGTATCTTCGGTTACATTGTAATATGATGGTACTATGATGCATATAAAGTGGTACCTTAATATAGTACCATATTTCAATACCATTTCCTGGCGTTCGATTGAGCTCATATTTGATATATACTTGCGTATTTTTGATGACATTGCATTATTATGGTACCATGAAGCATATCAACTGGTACCATAATATAGTACTATATTACGTACATGCCGTTCGATTGGGCTTAAACTTGGGATACTACGCATTTTCGGTGACATTGTAATATGATGGTACTATGATGCATATAAAGTGGTACCTTAATATAGTACCATATTACGATACCATTTCCTGGCGTTCGATTGGGCTCAAACTTGGTATACTACGTATCTTCGGTTACATTGTAATATGATTGAACTATGATGTATATCAAGTGGTACCTTAATATAGTACCATATTACGATACCATTTCATGGCGTTCGATTGTTCTTAAATTTGGTATACTACGGATCTTCGGTGACATTGCAATATTATGGTACCTTAAAGTATATCGAGTGGTACCATAATATAGTACACTATTATGATATCATTTCCTGGAGTTCGATTGGGCCCAAATTTGGTATACTTGCGTTTCTTTATAAAGATCTGTTTATATAATAATTTTAATTTATTTTACAAATTTTAATTTATTGTTCGATGTCGTGACAGCAACTTTTATGCCGAACTAATATATTATTAATTGTACCTGTGTCACTTTTTAAATTCTACCTAGGTCTATATAAATAACGTGGCAAATGGAAGAAATTTGTTATTATAGTATTTTTTAGTCAGTTAACATTTTTGTACTGCATTTTAATAAATTATTTCCATTATTATTAAACTTATATTTCATTACTAACGTTCCAGCATTAATAAATATCAGCTCCAATCGCCCTGTATATTATTAATTTTAAAGGTAATTAAAGGTATTTTCTTAGTTAACATTATAAGGTATAGTGTATATTAAAAATGTATATGCAATAATATACTTAAAACTATTTTAATAGCCAAAGGAATAATTAATATAAGTGTATCTGACAAGAAAAGAAGAATCATATAGAAATATTCAGATTTTTGTCTAGGACAGTCTAGAAGGCCATGCTTTCTGCCTGGGTAGAACCGCGCCACAACTGTTTCCAATTTTCCGGTTTACTGTCACCCCCCTGCTTAGGCGTAGTGCTTTACTTTTATGCCTAGGCGTTAAAATGACTTGAAAATTGTCAATCACTTCGCAAAAATTAATACTTTGTGACATTTCAAAAAAAAATCTGCTGTCGTGCATATTTTATTTTTTTTTTATAAATTTTAGTATTAGGCTTTTTACACAGGGTTAATAATGAAGGTTTTTTTACCCCACAATTACTTGTTAAATACATTTGAGTTAAAAAGTATTTATTTATTATCATTATTATCGTATACTACGACTATGATAATAATGATACAGGGTTTATCAAAAATAATACCGACTATAATAATTTTTACGTATTTGTTTCATTATATTGAATTTTAGGTGAATGTGGCCATCAACCTGCTGTAAGAGTATGGGATCTACAGTCCGATCCACAATCTGGCCATCCAGGTTTGGCACCTCAGCCTCAACAGGTTGCCGAATTTCTGGGACACAAATACGGTGTCAATTGTGTTGTAAGTATACTCAGCACTGTGGTTGTAGGTTAAACCCTTGTAGAAAACCCGTGATCTTATAGATCTACTCGTATTTTCCCCCTTTCTGGTATTATAACTCATCATACAGACTCAAGGCTTTGACAAAAGCCAGTACCTGAGACAGTTTTACAGAGGTTAGTTCTTCCATCTCTGATATCAGTCGTACCAAAGTTTATGACACGCATAATTGTCGTTTCGGCGCAACTCAGTGATGAGGTATTCTGGTGTTTCCCCATTTTCCCTACAGAAAACTACTGAGGTGTTCATTGAGAGACAGTGACCTGTTAAAAACCCCGTGAAAAAAATATTGTTCTTACATAGATCAAGGAAAATCTTTTATTTTTCTCGGTCGTTAGTCCTGATAAATTTCTTCGGGTGTCTTAGACTGTTGGAGGATTCCCTTTCCAGGTTACACATGGAGTACAACTTTGGGAAACGCCTTCCTCAGCATGTAAAAGATCATACCATAACGTGGTATGGCCCTGATGCTTGCAAAACCAAAGCAGTGACAGGGATAGGAGTATTTGGGCTGAAAACTAAATACTCCGAACTAATGAGCACCTACCCCAGTCCTTCAGGCAGAAATTTACGCTATCGAAAGATGCGTACAATTTATCTTAGATAGGAACTATCGAAAACAGGAAATTGCCATTCTATCTGATAATCAAGCAGCACTAAACGCGATTAACTCAGTAACCATCAAATCAAAGAATGCCTAGAGAAGCTCAACAAATTAGGCAAAGAAAATAAGTCCTCCCACTCTGGGTGCCTGCTTACCAAGGGATAGAAGGCAATGAAGAAGCAAATTATCTAGCTAGAAAAGGAGCGAACACTCCACTAACTGGACCAGAACCGTTCTGTTTTTCAACCAACTGAAAGCGAAACTGAAGAATCTGGAAGACTCCATGGAATGGGCGTTCTCCAGCCGGTCTAAGACACTCAATAAGTTCCTCAGAACTTACGACCGAGAAAAATCAAAGGTTTTGCTTGATTTAAGTAAAAACAATCTTCGGATTGTCACGGAGTTTCTAACAGGACACTGACTTCTCAACGAACACCTCAGTAGGCTGAAACTGAGAAACAACGGCGAATGCAGATTCTGTGGGGAAAATGGGGACGACCATTCGTGCCATGAACTTTCGTACGGCTGATGTTGAGGATGGAGAGCTGGCCTCTGTAGAGCCGTCTCAGATACATGCTTTTGTTAAAGCCCTGAGACTGTATGATGAGTTATAACTCGTTATAACTCAAGAAAGGGGAACACACAATAGAGCTGTAAGGTCGCGGTGATTAACTCCCCTCCTAACCATTCTACATTCTGCATGTGGAGTAGCTTCTTTGATACTATACACACTTTGATTTAATTAACATTTAGCCTTTAAGCTACGATTTTTTAGTAATAATAATTCATTTACAGGCTTTTTCTCCTACAAACAAATACGTGGTGAGCGTCGGTACCCAACATGATATGATAGTCAATGTGTGGGATTGGAAAAATAATATAAAAGTAAGTTTTCATTTTCCTTGTACGATTTTCAAGAAATAATTCATAAATATGACAATCCGTAGGTTGCCAGCAATAAAGTTAGTACCAAAGTGAAAGCAATCGCATTTTCTGAAAATGGAAATTACTTTGTAACTGTAGGCAACCGCCATGTAAAATTTTGGTTTTTGGAGAGCGGTAAAAATAAGGTAATTCTTACATTTATTTAACTTTTTGTAAAACAGGAGAGATATTTTTTGGCTATTTTTGATACATTTTCAAACGTGTTAGAAACATAGTAAACATAGTCATAAAATTATGAAAATTTCAGTATTTGTAGTCAATTTTATGTAGATTCAGAATATATGCATCTTTAATAGGCTTAGATGTCTTGTTTTTTTGCGAAAAATAATTTTTTATCATCAACTTTTCTCTAAATTGATCATCTTTGTATCTCTTCTGGTTCATTCGTTTTTATATATGGAACACTGTGTATATTAATGATACCTTTGTGTTATGTTCTAAGTACAAAGAAGCGGTACCTTTGATGGGCAGGTCGGCCATACTGGGTGAGCAAAGGAACAATTATTTCTGTGATGTAGCTTGTGGCAAAGGAGAGTGTGGCGATAGTACTTACGCCATCACCAGGTCCGGACTGCTTTGTGAATTTAATAATAGAAGACTTTTAGATAAGTGGGTAGAATTAAGGGTGAGTTAAACAAATCTCTAAACCCCATTTCATAATATATGGTGATTATTCAATAACAAAATATCTTAAAATCTTTTTAAAATGGTATTTTTACTGACGTTGCTACAATAAGAAATCTGAAATTTGGAAAAAAAATATAATTTTTCTTCTTCACAACCTTAATTTTTCCTAGTTTTGGGGAAAATTCCGTAGATTTGATCAAGCAACTATGATCCCACTTCTAATGTTCGAGTAAGGTAAATAATGCAAACACCAGTCCTGAAACATGACAGTTAACCTAAAAGATGTTATCATCTAAAAATTTTTGTACTTTATTTAGTACATTTTCAAATATGCAAGAATTCATTGTTACATCTTTAGTAAATATTCTTGAATTTGAATAATTGCCACTTTGAGTGAAATGGACTGTATTTTACTTGAAAAAAAAAATATTTTCTTATGATTTTCAGACAACCAGTGCCAATTGTATTACAGTAGGTCAAAAACATATTTTTGTGGGTTGCGCGGAAGGTATTATAAGGTGTTTTGACCCTACGACACTTAGGTTTATCACGACATTACCTAGATGTCACTACCTAGGCGTCGATGTATCTTTAGGAACTAATATACAGTAAGTTTCAAAAAGATTTAAGTCTTACTATGATTTGATACCGTATGACCGAAAAAAAAACGGCGTCAAAAACGGCTGGGGAATGACAGTCGGTAATAATTTTGGCTAGGTCAATCTCTAGATTTCATTTACTAAAAAGATAAAATATTTTTTTCTCAAATTTTAAACTTCCCTATTTAAAAATAATTTTTACACAATATAAGAAAAAATTACAATATTTATAAGAGTACGGGCTAAGTAAACGACGTCTAGGGCTTGACCTCGCCAAAATTATTATCGATTATTATTTCCCAGCCGTGTTTGACGCCGTTTTTTTTTCGATCGTGTGGTATTTTACTGTTTTTTATAGGCATATGGCTTCGCCCCCTCAAGACGCCAAATATCCTGACACTGTAGCTATAACTTTCGACGAAACTAATAATAAATTAACAGCAGTTTACAACGATCACTCTATATATATTTGGGATGTTTTCAACATTAAAAGGGTAAGTAAAAAGTGGTGCTAAAGTTTATTATAAGAGTTTTTAAAAACGGTGGAATTTCTAATAATAAAATCATTTAATATTGCAAGTTCTTACAAGTTTAGATTGGAAAGTGCCCATAAGGACAATGTAAACACTATTTGGCGCTATTCTTGCAACGGTCGCGTCCCAAAGCTTTTGATAATTTCGGATCGGTTCGGCTTTTTCCGGAATTATGTTTATTTCTTTTCTATGATTAAAGTCGGATGTCAAAAGTTGACATATGATATGTCATTCTTTTCAGTGTGTCATTTTCTATCCAATAAAGTAGATACCCACATTCTTTGTTTTTTTTAAAGGTGGGAAAGTCATGTTCTTTTCTATACCATTCAGCGTGTATATGGGGTGTGGAAATGGCACCCCAGAACAGCGGATTGCCTCCAGGAAGTTTCCTGACCTGTAGCTCAGACGATACGATCAGGGTCTGGACTTTAGACAAAATGAACGAGAAAAACAGTCGTGGAATGTACCAACAGAACGTCTATAGTAACGTGAGTATCCAGTCAATTTTATAGGAAAATCAGTGAAAAGTTGATGGGTACGTCATCAAAATATTTGACGAATGCACGTCACAATATTGTAGAATGTTTATCTTCAGGTATAACTCATTATACAGTTTCAGGGCTTGGACAAAAGCCAGTATCTGAGACGGTTTTGCAGAGGTTAGTTTTCCATCTCCGATATCAGTCGTAGCAAAGTTTGTGGCACAATTATTTGCCGTCTCGGCGCACTCAGTGATGAATTCCGGTGTTTTCTCATATTCCCCGCAGAAGTTGTTTCTTAGCTTCAATCTTCTGTCGTGTTCATTGAGGAGACAGTGTCCTGTTAAAAACCTCTTGACAATCCGAAGTTTGTTCTTACTTAAATCAAGGAAAATCTTTGAATTTTTATTAGAAAATTAATTTAGCAATAGTTTCGAAGGCATTGATGACGTACATGTCAAGTTCTATTGGTTTTCCTATATCTATATCATTTATATTTTTATTTGTATTTATATATCTCCGTATTATCAGGATTTATTGAAAGTAGTGTATATAGACAAGGATCTGTCTTACATAAAAGACTTAGATATATCTGGAACTGTTACAAACGATAAACAACCCGATCAAACATCATACGATGGAAAAAATGGTGTAAGGTCTATAAGGATTAGCCCCAACGGAAAACACTTAGCGTCTGGAGACAGATCAGGTAAGTTTTTTTAGAAAGCTCACGACAGGACAAATCAAATAAAAAAATAATATACAGGATGTTCCGTTTAAAAAAATAACATGAATTATAAAGAAGAGAAATGAAGAGAAACAGCAAAATAAATTCCAAAACAATAAATATCATAAAACACACGAAAATGGGACATCCTGTATAGTTCTTTTTAGAATCTTGCTTATTTACAATGTTATTTTACAGGAAATATACGTATTCATGATATCGCACAAATGAAAGAACTTTACAAGATTGAAGCACATGACTCTGAAGTGTTATGTTTGGAGTACTCAGCTAATGAGTCTTCTTACAGTTTGCTCGCGAGTGCAAGTAGGGATCGACTCATTCATGTGTTTGATACGAAAAACGTAAGGATTTGGATACAAATTATTTAAAAAATGACATTATTAAGAAAATAATTTTTAGGGTTATGATTTTGTTCAAACCTTAGATGACCACTCTTCAAGCATTACAGCAGTGCGATTTTTGAATCATTCAAATAATATCCAAATGATTTCTTGTGGAGCTGACAAAAGCTTAATATTTAGATCCCTAGGAGAGGTAAAAACTTAGACTATAAAAGCGTGGTCTGGATTTTAACGTGTAAGACAGTGACGTAGACAGCTTAACGGAAAATCAATTATATTAAAAAGAGATATCAGTTGGGTTGATACATTTTTTCTATGCGTTATTGCCGGATCTTGCATCAAAAATTCAAGCCGTGTAAGTAGGCGTTTACGAAAAACGTTGCATCTAGGGTTGGAACTTTATTTTTCACAATTAGTTACTCATTTTACTACAGCTGTACTAGATTATATTTATCTTAGATATATTATCATTATTTCAGTAGTATACATGAAAGTTTTTAAAATAGTTTATTTTTTCTGCACACATTTTCCTACAAATGTAAAAACCGACAACACTGTATGTCTCTTTTTATTTACTGTCTCTTTTACTTACTTTGTCTGTCAACCGGTCATTTATATTTATCTCTGTCGCAGGCGTTAAAATACAGACCACGGAGATATGTGTCCAGGACTGTATAATATGATCTCTGCTATTATTATATTATTACTTTTGTTAGTTCAATGGTAAAGTTCAATTTGCGCGTGATCATAATGCCACTGGAAAGACCACGCTGTATGATATGGAAGTGGACACGGGTCAGAAGCACGTACTGACAGCCTGTCAAGATAGAAACGTCAGAATTTACAACGTAACCACCGGAAAACACACAAAGACCTTTAAAGGCAGCACCGGCGATGATGGTACGCTTATAAAGGTAAGATAACTTAATTCATAGTTCTGAAGAATAATTATTATTTGATCCAAATTCAACAAAAAAACAACTATAATTGTATATGGACTATCTAATTTACATTGATTTTTACACACAATTCTTTGAATATTAGTTTATTTGTTGTTGTTTTTTTATTACAGGTAGTTTTAGACAGATCGGGTATATATCTGGCAACGTCGTGCACTGATAAAAGCTTATCAGTGTACGATTACTATTCTGGGGAGTGTATGGCAACAATGTGCGGTCACAGCGAGTTAGCTACTGGACTTAGGTTCACTAACGATTGTAGAAGACTAGTTAGTGCTAGTGGAGATGGGTAATTTACAATAATACAGGTCCATTTCACTAGAAATGACTGATTCAAAGTCCTTCAATAAATGACAGCCTTCAGTTCAGTAATCGATTTTCGTGTCTTAATGTTATTACCCCACGTACAGAAAAAAGAGACAGTAAATATAGCAATCTGTCCATGTCTATACCAATCCCTTTCTATTTATGAACCTAGAGATTGTTTTATATTGCAAAATCTTAGTTCTTATTACGTGAGATTCGATCATAAATCGAGTAGTATTTTGTCATTATCCCACTTCTGATGTTCAAGTAAGAGGTAAATAATGTAAATATCAGTCCTGAAACATGACAGTGAACACAAGGGATGTTACCTACAATTTTTGTATGTTTAATATGAAAGAATAGTGTTATAATTGTATATTTCAAGCAAAGTTTGAGCTATACGAAAAATATTTTTTATTCAGTACGTTGGTAATTACCTTCTGTCTTATTTTCTGTTAGAAGATTTTCTCTAAAATGTGTGTAGGTACGTTTAGATTTGGTTGAAATATTTTAATCTCTTAATCATTTTTAGAGCTTGAATCGTCATTTTTAGTGAGGTGGACTGTATTTAATCAATATTTTTAGTTTATTTAGTATTTTTTAGTTGTATATTTGTATGGAGGATACCTCACGACATGGTTATAACAATGCAAGCACGTTTGAGCCAGCAAGCCATGAGACAAGGAAAAATGCTGGAATCAGAAATGTTTAACGAAAATAGTAATTTCGATATATACGAGGGCATTTCAAATATTGATGCAAATTATAGGTATATAATTTTTTTTTTGCTTTTAAAATGTTTATTTTTTACTGGATTAATATAAGCTTATTTCGATTTGGTTACGCTAACCATAAATAGAGTCATCAGAATAATCTAAACACTTTCATCATCATAAAAAAGCACGATAGATATTTACTTTTGATAGGTTACTGTGTTAGAGTTTTTTTTTCTAAAAAAATGTTTTTTTCTGAAGGTTTAGTATAGGTCAATTACCACAGTGGGCCAAGAAACAGCTCACTGAGGAATCTAGTCAACCACCGAGTGTTACAAAAGGCGTGGCAGCGCCTAAAGGACGATGGGCTCAAAGGGCTGAGTTTTCTACTACTCTAGTTCAGTCGCTTTATGGTGGTAACCCTGTCCTATTCCCCGCTGTAGGTAAGTTTGCCTTTAATTTTGCAAATTACCATAGATAATGTTAGTCGAATAATTGTATTTTTGATGGGAAAATTTCGATGTTTGAATTTATATCCTTCTTCTATGTTTTTTGGAGGGTTCTCAATTCAGATCTCAAGTTAGTTAAAAAAATCCTCCCATTTCTGCTTTCATGCTATGAAATCGGAAAATATTTTTTTTTCGGAAAAAGTTACCATAGTTTTTCAAATACTTTCAATAAATAATTCTGAAAAAAATCACCGCTGTAGTGAATTTGTGGGGTATATTTCATCTCTTTTTTAATTGGTTATATTCTGTAATTATCCCACTTCTGATGTTCAAGCAGGAGGTAAATAATGCAAATTCCTATCCTGAAACATAACAGGAAACATAATATATAGTTCTTTTAATTTACTAGCCAGATTAAAGTGGCTGATTTCATGACCACAGCGAATATGTGGTCTAGTTCTCAGCTAAAAATATATTTTATGTACATAATTTTTTTTACTGATAGATAGAAGGCTTGACTCAGATGGTTCAAAGGAAAGCTCTCTGGATAGTGGTACCGATCTTAAGCTATACCAAGAGACTAAGAAGGTTGAGTCTATGTCTATGACATCGAAGGTACTGTTATATTTATCTGTTTAGTATCTTTTGTTAATTTGTAATCATCAATTTTTGAAAATTTCTAGATATCTCCCAATATTACTATAAGGGACAGAAATAGGAGAGGGATAATGACTGATGATAGTGCTATAGGAGATATTTCTTTGTATTATTAAAAAATAAAAAAAAAACGCATGACAAGACCTTGTAAATAAAATTAATATTGAATATGTCGATATTAATGCAATTGCTATTCTAAAATTTGTATCTTTTGTTCGTAATTTTTGGTGTTATTAAATTTTGTAAATATTCAAAGTCGGACCTGGTCATTCTTGTAAAGTTTTTGAACCGATCATAGCCCTCCTCAGACACTAAGTTGTTGCAGTAATTATATCGATTTCTAAAAATTTGGGTTTGCCACCAGCGACGATGTTTTCGATTTTTCTCCTTTTTAATAACTAAGCTGTGCATAACAATGATTGCAGCCTCGACTATTTCTTGGTCGTCCATTATTTTCGCCAACACAGCTCTGCCGTGCGCGCACAAATGGATCACTTCATTCGTCGAAAAATAAGTTTTTATTTTGAAAGCAGCCGAGAGCGCGAACGAATGTCGTGCGCGCACGCTCAGCTATTGCCGGATTTTGCATTAAAATTTCAAACCGCACAAGTAGGCGTTCACGAAAAATGTTGCATCTAGGGTTGCAATTTTATTTTTCACTATTACTTACTCGTTTTACTACAACTGTAATATATTATATTTAGTTTAGATATATCATCATTTTAGTAGTATACATGAAAGTTTTTAAAATAGCTTATATTTTTCTACACATATTTTCCTACAATCGCAAAAACCGGCAACACTGTATGCCGCTTTTGATTTTATTTCTCTGTCTGACAACCGGTCATTTATATTATTCTCTGTCACACGCATTAAAATTCAGACGATATAAATTCGATGGCCAGCAGGGTATATTAAAATTAAGTTAGATATGTACTAATTTACCATAAATACATATTAGAAAATTTTTATTAGTGGCCAATGACAATTTTTGGTTGACGTTAGCACCATAAATGAGAAGTCTTTGCTCTATGTGCTTTTACAAAATATAAAGAAACATTATCTTTTTACAGTTTGTAAAAAAAACATTTATCTACTCGCATGGTTCAAGAAAATATTATGTTTATATTGCTGCTAGTATAAAAATACTACTTTTTTATGTTTACCACGTATTTTTTTAAATAATGTTTGGTTGCCGAAGACTTAAATCATTTAAACGTTATTCAGATTGACTTAAGATTTAAACATTTTCATTTTACAAAATGACTTGTCATTTAGAATTTAGAGTTCATTTCACTAGTCCGAAAAAGTTACAAAATTAGCGTTTGCTATTTAACGTTTTATGTCAAACTGGATAGGTATTTTTACACAAATGAAGAAGGAAATTAAATATAAAGAATTATACTATATCGGTATTGTAGCACATTTTTACACAACGTATTTATTATTAAGATTTTGATGGCCAAACAGTCAAACATCAACAAAATATTCCTTATGTTTGGACTAAATTTTCTCGAAAATAAAGACATAATTTAAAATTCCGTTACAATACGGAAATAGATTGAAGTTTTGTGATTACAGTGATATACAATTTATATGGTTTTGTAAGAAATTTCTCGCTATTTTATGGCAAATGCTGAAACTCTGCAAACATTAATCAAGCCTTAATCAAAGCACGTGTGTTTGGAATTTTGGGTGTGGCTTAACACGACAGGATCGGGCTAAGCCTTAGGCAGATTTCTGGAATATAATATATATTTCCTTCGGCCACGCACTCGCTTTACCCGAGCGCTGAGAGCGACCCGAAAGTACAGCGTAATAGAGTTTTAATAGATGTCTTCCAGACCACTCTAGCGACTAAAGGAGGATTATTCAGTGTAGCGGTTAATGGTTTAGAATTATATTTAGGACTTTTTTGAACTGAATTAATTGTTCAGATTAAAATATTTTTACATATTTTTTATTATTAGACGAAGACCGTTATATTATCCATCACTAGCTGACTCACCTAGCGGAAACGAATACACAGTAACCAACATCGACGCTGACGAACTTAGGAAATCGCAAAGGAAAAAGAAAACTCCCCAGATTTTAATCCAGCAACCCACAACAGGAACTTATGATTCTGAAGATGACGATGATGATGTATGTTTCGGGATAAAACAAAACCTAAAAATTAAAACTTATTTATATTTTTTTTTCTCCAGGCATCAACTCCAAGCGGTGAAAATACTGACAGAAATCCAATGTCTCTGTTCTCTGTTAGTTCAGAGTCTCTGGACCAATTAGTGAATAGAGAAAGGTATCTTCAGTCGACTTTCGAGAGTATGTCTGGAGCTGAAACTGAACATCACACACCCTGTAAGTACTTGTATGTATGTATAATCTTTATACAGGGTGATTCACGGCGATGGCACGTTAGACGTTTATGGAGAACCGGTGATTGATCCATCTTTCTAAAATATTATTAGCGCACACACGGCAAAATGCTACGTTTAGCTTGATAAACATCGAAATTACAATTACATTATTTTTTTTTTTCGTATGTTCATCTACTCACTGTCGTTCTTATAATATCTCTGGACCTAATTTTAAATATTATAATTTTTTCCGAGCAACTATAACGGTGCAAGCGCTACCGAAAGTTGATGGAGTTTGCACTTTCTGGAAAGAGCATTAGCACAGAATATCTAGCTGCGCAACAGAAAAATACTCGAAATGAAAGAGCTAAAATTGCACAAATAGAATACTAGATGGCGCGACAATATCATAATCAGAATATAATTAGAAATTTTGAACTTTCGGTTTTGGATGGGCGGCTCGTCGACGGCCTTATAGCTCGGCTAAATATGCACAGTTGCCAGATTCAAAAAGACTTGAATTGGCATCCCATTCTTTTATTGTGTTAATGCAGTATGTGTTTCTTTCTATTCTTCTTTTCTTGTCAGATACACTTATATTAATTATTCCTTTGGCTATTAAAATAGTTTTAAGTATATTATTACAAAACATATACATTTTTTATATACACTACCTTATAATGTTAACTAAGAAAATACCTTTAATTACCTTTAAAATTAATAATATACAGGGCGATTGATAGTAATATTTATTAATGCTGGAACGTTAGTAATGAAATATAAGTTTAATAATAATGGAAATAATTTATTAAAATGCAGTACAAAAAATGTTAACTAACTAAAAAATACTATAATAACAAATTTCTTCCGTTTGCCACATTATTTATATAGACCTAGGTAGATTTTAAAAAATGACAGATACAATTAATAATATATTAGTTCGGCATAAAAGTTGCTGTAACTACATCGAACAATAAATTAAAATTCGTAGAATAAATTAAAATTATTAATTAAACAAATCTTTATAAAGAAACGCAAGTATACCAAATTTGGACCCAATCGAACTCCAGGAAATAATATCATAATAGTGTACTATATTATGGTACCACTCGATATGCTTTAATGTACCATAATATTGCAATGTCACCGAAGATTCGTAGTATACCAAATTTAAGAACAATCGAACGCCATGAAATGGTATCGTAATATGGTACTACATTAAGGTACCACTTTATATACATCATAGTTCAATCATATTTCAATGTAACCGAAGATACGTAGTATACCAAGTTTGAGCCCAATCGAACGCCAGGAAATGGTATCGTAATATGGTACTATATTAAGATACCACTTTATATGCATCATAGTACCATCATATTACAATGTTACCGAAAATACGTAGTATCCCAAGTTTAAGCCCAATCGAACGCCATGTACGTAATATGGTACTATATTATGGTACCAGATGATATGCATCATAGTACCTCATCATATTACAATGTCACCGAAAATACGTAGTATACCAAGTTTAAGCCCCCTATTGCCGCCATGTACCTACATTGCTATGTCATCAAATATGGTACTATAGAAGGTACCACTTTATATGCTCCATGGTACCAAGATATTACAATGTCACTGAAGATATAGTATACCAAGTTTAAGCCCAATCGAACGCCATGTATCGTAATATAGTACTATATTATGGTATCACTTGATATGCTTCTGAAAAAAACGGCGTCCAGTTGGCTGGAAAAGGACGATCGATGACATTTCCCGTATAAATTTACATATAAAATGACAGTGATATTCATTTCATAGCTATCTATAACGCCGTTTTTTCCCGATTATACAATATGAACTTGGTATGAACATAATCGAACGTCAGGAAGTGGTATCATAATAGTAGAACAATACTTATTATATTGTCGCCGAATTCAATTATACAATCAAACGTCAGGAAGTGATTGTAATTTAGCTCATAAGATTTAATTCCAACTAACATGGCAAACTGAAAAAAACAGCTCTGATCTATTTTAATATGTTTAAATGATGTAGCAAATTTGAAGGTAGGCTTTATCAGGATTATTACGATATGAATTACACAATGGCAACACTGCACAAAATTCTTTTAAATTTTGTTTGTAGAAAACTGTTTTCTTTTAAATTTATTGCCCTCTATTATGTCGTAGCGAAACTACGACATCAAAATATCTGATTTGGAGACAGACTTTTAAAGCCTGTCTCCTTTTGCTACCTACAATTTTATACATGTAACGAGGCTTCTGTTGCGTAGCTAGATATTCTGTGGCATTAGTCTTGCACAAACTTGGAGCGCAAAAGAGTCTCATTTACACCCAGCACACATAGCCATTTGAAAATTAATTATTATTATGGACAATATAGAAATAACATCAATATAATAAATTTGAACTCTTTTGAATGTAGATGAAATGTATTTTAAACAAACTATTTTGGGTTTATTTTTTTATAGTTTTGTTTTCATAATGAATTATAGTAATGAGTTCCACGGAATTCCGCTTTTAATTTAATAAAATTAAAATCAATAATGTATGTTGATACAGGTATAAAACTATCAGCTTTCCCAAATCTGCCCTTTTTTTGAAATAGCCCATTATTCGCAGGGAGTCGTACTGATGTCTATACTGGTTCTGTAATATCAAGAAAGGATTTTTTTAGTTTGGTTTGGTTTGAAGAGCACAGATATTCTAAATTATGAATTTGTAAGTTTATTACAAGTTTTTTTTAATATATTGACAGTAGAAAAAAAGTCAAATGACTGTGCTGGGTGTAAATGACACTCTTTTGCGCTCCACGAAATATGCGAATTGCATCAATTTTCGGTAACGCTTGCACTACTCTAGTTCAATGGAAAGATTTATAATATTTAAAATTAGTCCTACAAATGTAATAAGAAAAACAATGTGTGGATAAACATACAAAAAATATTAATCTGGATTTTTATCAAGCTAAACGTAGCATTTTGCCGTGTGTGCAGCGTTACAATGTTGTCGGTTCATTTGAAAAATAATAGCATCGTTGTTATTTTAAATGGAACACCCAGTATATTATTACATTTTTGGAAATTACTTTCTCATTTTTCTATTATACCAACCTGTACCTATCTCTAACAGTTTTCGAGATAAAAAATAAAATTGATTGAAAAAACATTGATAAAAACATGTTCTTGAATAAACGGTAATTGATCGGTAAAATCATGAATTCAACATTTTTAATGTTCAAATTTGCTGTATAAGTTAACAAAAGTCGATATATTCGATCTGCCTAAATCAATCAATTGGATATTACACAGGAAGGGCACAAAAATAGTTATTTCCGTTTGCTATAAAATTGCTCAAATCTTTGTTATTATAAATTCAACCCTATGTATATTTTGTAAAAAATCAAGAGATTAATAAAATTGCTGTTCAACGATATATGATGTCCTATACTTAAACCTTCCGGTTTTTTAAGTAGATCTATGTAAAAATGAATAACTCTATTATTATAGTTTCATTTCGAGAATTTTGTTACCATGAAAAAATGTTTAAATAAATCGAAAATTCTTCCTGTTTTGTGAGACTGATTTTAAATATTTATTTCTAGCTAATAAATCGTCGTTTTCATCTAAATTTTTAACAAATAGCGGAAACAAAAATATCGAAGCTATTAACGCTGTGAAAATGACCAAATCTGACCCTGAAGCGATAAAGAAACGACAAGAATTGAACAAAAGGATAGCAGAAACCAAAAAGAAGTTAGAGAGTGTAAGAAATAAATTTGAAATTCAATACAAAGAAATTATATAATATGTGTTTTTTTATTTACAGTTTGGACATGTTAGCCCACTGAAATACAGCCAGTCCATACATGATTTGAGTCATATACCTGAGAGAGACAAGTGGTCAAAGAAACAAGGTACGTCATGTAGTGTTGTATATTCTGGCATTAACGTGTTTTGATTTTTTTTAATTTAATATTTTAACATATTTACCATATATATTGTCATAATTACAGGAGAAAGTTTCTAAATTTTGATAATTAAAACTACATAATATATCTGTTTGATATACACTCACCACCATGAAAAACGGGCACCCTAAAATTTTGATGTGTCTTAAAATTTAATATATCTTGTTGTATTGGACCGATTTTGATGCATTTTTAAGCAATTTCTAGCTAAATTATTTGACTTTTTAGTATCTCTTTCTAAATTAAATATGAAAGTTCACATCTGTCAATTATACCAGGGCAAGCAAAATGTTGTTATTTTGGTCAAAGTTTGAAACACCCTGTGGAATATGTTAAGACAGCAAGTAATATAAAAATAATTTTATCATCTAGGTACATCCTTTCTTGATAGTTTGTTTTTTGGTTCATCTCAATAGCTTTATTTTTATTGGAGATATTCGCTTTCGAAGAAGACACCAACATTTTTTCGTAATTTTTACATTAAAATGTATTTAGAAACTTTCTCCGAATTTCTTAGAGTTAATCTGGTATACTAACACTAACTGTAATCTCACCTCCACTAAACAGCAGACATTGATAGTGCTAACGCTTCCTCAACTAACACTACAATCAATAAAACCGACCCATGCAGCGTTTGCACATCTATAAGTACTTCTTTCACCGATTTTGTACCGTCTAGCAAAAGCGTACCAGTCGATCTACAACTGTGCGGTTGTTTCATGAGTGACATCGAAAAAAACACCACTCAGTTGAGTCAAATACTCAATTTGAGTCGAGATAACGATAAAACTTGCTCAAAATCGCGTCCTTTGAGTTTGAGTGGGTTAAATACGGTGAATTTTGATGCGGAGAGTATAAGTTTTCGTGAAAGCCTGGAGAAAGCAACAAAAAGTCCAGAAAGGAGTCTGGAATCACTTATTAGACCCAGAAAATTAAAGTTAGACAAGACTTTGACTAAGTACAAAATGCACAAGAGCCTTCCTGTCAGTCCTGTCAGTGAGGAAAGACAGTTTGCTGACTTTGTCGATCAGCAAAAATGCAGTGATTTGCAACAGAGACAAAGTTTCAGGTAGGTAGAATTTGTTTTTTTTTGTTTTTTATTTTTAACTGGATTATGGAATTTTCGAATACAAATATTAAATAAGAAGCATTTTAATAAAATTTCAAATCAAATTCAAATGTGTCAAAAATCTGGGGATTCATGATATCAATTTTGTTTCTAATGCGTGATTACATGGATAACATTATACTCCTTTCTTTTTATCTCAGAGGATGAAGTGAAGAAATGCGACTCTGACAGACTAAGTCATGTTACGTCGCTTTAAAAAGGGCGGAGCGTAACATCGTGACGTCAGACTTAGAATTCTATTGCAAATACTATATGTAATGTCGTGGATATATTGTCGTACACTTTTTTCACGTAAAAACAAAAAAATAATCTCTTCCCTCAGGTTTTATCACGTGAAAGAGAGATAGTACGGCAATATATTATGACGTCACGTCGAGATATATTCGTACAAACTATATTTATTGTAGTTATTTTTTGGATCTCGATCCCAAATCGACAGACGAAGGTTTCAGACAAGTTTGCAGCGATATAGAGAAATTTAGTGTGGATTTTAACAAAAAATACGATCAAATTGAGAAAAATTTCCCTGTCAAAAGTGCCAAAGGCGAAGAAAATAATCCTGAAGATGAAGATGGCAATTTTAGCTCGGATTCGTTAGAGGACTATAACTTTTTTTCTTATAGCATTAAAAAGGGTAAAAAGAACGTACCACCGAGGAGATGTGTGTCAAATAACGAAATATATCGGTATCAAGAAGAATATATTGGTTAGTTTATGTTTATTTTATTCATGTAATAAAGTAATATTCCTAATAAGGGTAGTATACCTACAGCAATTGATAGGTTGATTTTAATATCCTCCATCTATCATTGTTTATAGTATTCTTCATGTTGTTACCGGCGTACCTTCTTGGTGACTGTTTGAAGTCTTTACTAGCCTTCTAGGACTATTACTTATATGATTTTATGACACTCTGCTATATTCTTTTAATCTTCCAGAGGAAATTCCAAAAAGCGAATCATTTTACTTGAATCAAAATTACTCGATACAGGGTAGCCAAGAAAGTATTCTTTCGGACGAGAATAACCTCGATTACAACGACTTCTACAGGGGGGAAGCAAAAAGTTATTGTAACAGTTTGGAAAGCGTCATTTCTAACGATTCTGATTGCAAGAGTGCTCCCCTTGAGATATTGTTTGAAGATAAAAGAAAAGAACTTATATCCGAGGTAATAAAAATATCGTTTGTTATTTTTTATCCCACCCTGTATACATGCTATATATACGTTTTAGGGGAACTGCAAAATGCCTCATTCGCAAAGCCTGCCAAAAAATATATCGTGCAAGTACGACACAGAATTATCGTCTAGTCTTCCTAAAAATTTTATTGAACATCATTATACTGCATCTCAGCCAATACAAGCATCATCAGGTTTTGAAATACATACTTTTAAAAGCCAAGTTTCTAATTAGTCTTTATATTTAGGGAAAAAAAGTAAAGGTAGTTTGAAAACTTGCCAGACTCAGACAGATTTTGAGACACCTCAGCAAATTGTGGCAAAGAAAGCAGGAAGAGGTTCAGAAGATTTTCAGAAAAAATTGCTCAAATTTGAAAGTACTATTGCTCAAAGCACTCATAAAAAACCGGTTAGTTGAATAGTAGAAAGATATGGCAACCATGTGTGATTGTATATATTTAATATTACCATCAATATTTCTTATTAATTCACTTATAGGTCGCATTTTTTGTCGAAACAAACACTAGCAGAGGCAAATCAAACACAAAACTAAGCAAAGAAAACGTCCCTATTAATTTACCAAAAAATAGTCAAAAAACAAAACACGAAAACTCAGAAATGTACATACCAACTCTAGCTTCGAAGAACAAACAATACAAAAGCAAATTTTGCAATGTGTTGAACAATAAGCCTGATCAGAACTTGGATATATTTGAAGAAAGAGCCAATGGCAAAAATAATGGCAATAATTTTACTTTATCCACTATCAATTTTGAAAGAAATGGAAACAGAAACAATATTCAGGTACTAATAGCAACAATATACAGAACACATTTTATTTTCTGCCATTTTTTTGGATGTCGTCTGTCTAAAGCCTGATCCACACGTAACGACTTACCGTACGAAATTTTGTCGTACGGTAAGTCTTGGCGTGTGGACTGCGCTTTAATATTACTTGACGCGTTGTGGTGTATCTTCTTTTAATGTTATTATTATTGAAGGAAACATCTAGTCTGGACAGGCATTTGTTTGCCAAAGGCTTACTAAATGCCAACGAAAAAATAACTCACAAACCGCCAAAAGCTGTTCGAAGACATAGCTCTAAAAACAGAAAAAGTAAAACTACTTACGAGTATATACGAAAAGAGGATTTTTTCAAAAACAACACTAATGTCAAAGGCGAACAAAATTTATGTACAGGTGATAAATTACTTTTTTTATAAAAAAATTAAGGAAGGACTATATCAAGAAACTTAGATGGAACGGAATGGGGGATTAACATGGCTTAAGACTTAAATTCCTGTTCATCTGTACAGGGTGAGTTAACGATAGGGTAAAGTCCATTATCTCATTTGTTTCGAGGTTTACAAAAAAAAAATTAAATACAAAAGTTATAGGGAAGGTTACGATACACATTTTAAAATTATTCTAAAGTATACAAGGTGCTTCAAAAAAGTGTGGCGGATATAACATATGCTTTTTTAAATGCAACACCCTATTTTTTATTTTATTTTTAGATTCTGCGTAAAATTTCATAACCTTTTTATATATAATGGTATATACTTAAAATTAATACTTTTGTACTTGGTGTATACCTAAAATTAATATTTTAATTTGTTTAAACAAATGTTCAATTGCTGTGTGGTAAAAATTGTCAGTGGTGCCATTTTTTCTGAAATTGGAGTACCAAAATTTGGAAGGAGAGATTTAAAGAGATGAAAAAAAAAGATATATGTTAAGATATTTTAGTTAAATGATACAGGGTGTTCAAAATATATTTATGAATTTCAACTACTTAAAATTAAAAAAATCTCAAATTTTTTAAATGGGACACCCTATATATTATTATTTTTTTCTGATAGATTTTACAAAACTCTTCAACTTTTATTAAGTATATCATATACGTATTTTTAATAGTTTGCGATTTATTCCAATTTTTTCTATTTTTACCCATATTTTTAATACAATTACCCTATAAAATCATAGTTGCCATGACAAAACAAACGATTTATTACTTATCTTTAACAAGTACCTTAATAATTGGTTACAATTGCTGGTATTAGTTAAGGTTAATTAACTTTACTCAAAT